CAAACCATTTACTCATTATGTAACATACAAAACAGCAGTTCGGATATAAAGTATTTTATGTCAAATCAAAATATTTGATGAAAGTTTTACTTTAAACAAACCAATCAAACTTGTACTTTTCAATTTCATATAAACCTTAGCCCAATGTAATACTGATGAGAATGTATGGTACATCAGTCAGACGAGCATACACATATTGCACTTTTAGTGCCAAACAAACGTAAAAGTATTGTAGAACACAATATCTCTGTTGCATAATTCAATTATCACGATGCCAAAATCAGACGCATCATACATTATTTCTCATAATATAACATTCCAATATCAGATGACTATGTACTTAATGCAACTGCGTGCAAAGCAGTAAAATCAGACAACTCAATATTCATACACTGGGAATTCTTATCAGATCATTTACTATTCATTTATCAGAAGTATCCATAGATACTAACATAGCAAAACATCGTATAAAAGTGCATTGGGCATTTCATACATGAAATCATCCATAAAACCATTTAATAAAAAGTATCATATAAAATGTATTAGGTAATTTATACACAAAACTATCTTAATTTTTTTTTGGTAAACCAGTATGAAAATAGATCAAAATAACATTTAAATATTTTTTCTTTCAAACTATTTGAGGTTGACTCATTGCAAGTCTTCTTCATATCATATATAATAATATAAGTAAGAATGCACTCACCTGGTACACTTAGGTTGCACACTTTATTTAATGAGATAAACATCACTTTTGTACTTTTTCCTAAACTTTTAGCTTGCTTCGATCTCAATTTGATCATGATCTATACAAATATCATTTACAAAACATATATATATATATATATATATATATATATATATATATATATCAAAGTACATGTTAGTATTCACTAACACTTTAGGCGCACAATAGCATAAAATTGCTAGAGATGCAACTAAGGCATATTACATACTAATCTCCTTTCACATTATCAATGCTAACTTAAACTCCTTCAAAAAACATTTCAAGTCCCTAAAATATTCATCCTTATCAATAGTTCTCAAGGCTTTTCAATATTCCACATTAACTACTAATAAGCATTTCTTGAAATTTCATCCCAATATTTAAAATTCATTTAAAATGGTCCCTTGCTATTTCACCTTAAATTCGATACCAATCACCCCTTTCAAGCATTCTAACAATCTATTTAAACATTATTCATTACATTAATTTCCATTTCAATCCCAAATTTCATGTATTTTACGTTTTGGTCCTCAAACTTTAACAACTTTTAAAACGATCCAAATCAACCTTATAACATAAAAATTAACATTCTAACATTCGATTCCAACATACTACATAAATTATTTAACAATTTCACTTTAATTCCCAATTTTCATAAAAGATGGAAATAAGTCCCTATACTTTCACAAATTTCCAAATTGGTTCAAATCAAATTTCAAAGCATGTAGAATCATTCTTATATCAATTCTAGTCTTATGGAAATTGTTGTATATTTTCCCTTATTTTCTTCCTCTTGGCCAAATGGTATAAGGTGTTTTAGGCAAAACTTCCAACTTGATTCAAGCATGAATTCAAGCTTCCAACATCATTTCCATGCAATCTCAATCAAACCCAACTCAATTTCATTTCATCTTCAACTTTCCATGAAAACCCTAATTAATCAAACAATTCAACCATTTATAATTGTTTTCAATAATCATATAAGCTTAGAAATGATTTCATAACATCAACTATATCAAAATCCATCATTAAATCATAAACACCTAACACCCCCTTCATCCATCAATTTCATGAATCAATTATTGAAGCAAGAAAAGCATGAACTATTTACATTAAATGATAGAAAATTTGAAGTAGATTATTTCTTTTTTTATGTCTTAATCCAAAAACCAAGTAATTTTGCTTAAAAATGAAAGTTTTATCGCCTTTATTTATGGAAATCACGACTAGGATGAAGAAAATTCTTGATTATTATACCAAAATATCTTAATACACTAAGCTTTTAACCATGTAAAAAGAATTTAAAATTTATTTTACGCAAAAACACCTTTTTACCCTTTAAAAATTATGATAATTACCAAATTACCATGCTACATCATACTTCCATCATCCTTACATCATCAAAGTCAAATATAGACAAAGATTTTCTCATCTTCCAACTTTCCCTTGCAGTTTTCACAAAATTACAATTTTGTCATTTTAATTCAATGATTCCGATTTAACATGGAGAATCAACTTAAATTCAATGATTCATGTTAAATTCTACTAATTTAAAATATAGAACTGAGATTATTAACCTTCTTCTATCATCCTTCAAAATTTCATGAATTTTCGATTCAATTTGATTATCTAAATATTTTACTGGACTTTATTGTTTTATAGCTTTTTATACAAATTCTAGATCAAACATTTGAAACCATGAAAACGTCATTCTTGGGATAAACTATTCATTTACTGGATAAATTTTTTATTGGGAAAATTACCACTTTGGTCCCTAAAATTTTCTCAAGTTTACACTTTAACCACTAAACTTTTAAAATTTACATTTTGGTCACTATTTCAAAATTTGGGATATTACACCTTCGCTTTCAAAGCCTTGCAGAAAACTCAGGCAATTCTCTTTAACTCTCAATTGATTTCACAAACCACTCATCTAAATCTTAAACCTCTCAACTAGTGCGAAGATTAAAACCCTCGACTCATATAAACCATATACCCCTTAATTTGCAGAAACCATATCACACAATTTGGTAGAATTTTTTTGGAAACAATCTCATGCTTTAGGTAAATCAGGGTTAAACGAAGAGTCGTTTAGGTAATGTTATTTTACCTAAAAAAATTTCTGATGTGTCATTTATAATTTGGGAGTAATTTTTTCCAACGTGTCATTTACAATATTTTTAAACAGATAAAAAAACATTTATATATTCCACAGAATAACACCGTTAGAAAATTAACGACGGAGTGACCAAAAAATGCAATGTATAAATTCAGTGAGCAAATTGAAAATTTGAAAGTACGGTGAGTAAAATAAAAGAAAGAGTAAAGTTCAATTACCAAGTACATAATTTACCCTTATTCTTATTCTTTCAAGTGCAGCGATTGCTGCTATTTTGATTTTAATTGAAACCTTATTGGTCGACTAATATATATACACGCACAAACGTATATGCATTCATTCTTACAAAAATTATATATTAAAAGATATTATTTTCATCATATGTATATATGTATATGTACACCCATCTATTCATACATTATATGCATATATAGATGGTATTAATTACATAATTTAAAGTAATTTGTTTGCTTATGGGAACTTTTTAAAAAAAAAATTCTTTTAATTAGTCTGCGTTGATAAATAAATCAAGATATTTACGTTATATTTTTTTCATTAATTTATTTTAGTTGATTATTTTGTGAAATATTTAAATTTTATTATATTAATTATTTATAATTATATGCATGACAATGTATGGTCATCAAAATTGACCAGTGATATGTTACATCAAGATACCATTAATTAATTTTAACATCATAATATTTTTAATAAATTCTAAATTTAATCCTAATTTTACCTAAGGGGAAAACAGTTTGACTAATAATATCATAATTAATTCTAAAAATTAATAACAAAATAAATTCATTAGCTATACTTCTAATATGAGTTTTATGTCACAAACTGTTATAGCAAGAAAATACCAATTCGAGTAATTGAGAAATTGAATTCTACTGTTGAGAAAAAAATAATATCATTTTACTACGTCAGTTGCATTTAAAAATCTAAATTTTAAAGTACTAAATAAGTTCTATGAACACCACTTTAATGTAAACTCTATTTCATTTTTAAATTGTAAGAGAGAATTTTAAAGTTATTATTATTTTAATGTATGATTAATTTAATGAAAATATGTTATTTTTATTAATTTTAAGTGAATTTTATTAAAAATCAATATTAGGAGAAGAAAGAGAAGTGAAATGTAAATATTTTAATATTGATCTTGTCGCGAATGATTATCGTTAACAGACAATGATTCATTGTCAATTACGGTTGAAAAAATGTAGTGTCCAAAAGTGAACTATTTAAAAGTTTAATGACAAAAATTAATACACCCCTAAAGTTTAATATCTAAAATTACTTTGATTTAGGAATTAATAATCGTATCAAAATGATGTAGTTTTGTCTATATAATCACGCAATTTAAATTTTAACAATACAATTATACCATTGAAATCAAAACTAAAATTTAATATTAGTTTAAATAAATAAAAAAAATAGATGAAATATAATCATTAAAATAATAGTAATTTATGGATTTAAGATGATTGGTTATCTTTTAAGGTTGAAGTTGTACAGGGAGATGTGATATTATGGAGGTTTTAGAGGTCTACTTTATTCATGGGTCTCTAAACTTTGGTGGACTTGGATTTGCAGGTAGAAATTGATATTAAAAGAAAATTAAATTTTTATGTTTGAACAATTATATTTATAAGGTATGTGTTATTAATAATTAATAAAAAAATTTAAATACTTTCTTATAATTATATAGACTATTCAAGAAAAAACTACATTTACAGAAGATGTTGAGGAAGTGCTGGATGAAGCAATTGTGAGAGATGTTATGCTTTGGAATGCTATGGTTAATGGGTACACGCAGGTTGGGCAGTTCGATGACGCTTTGGGAGTGTTTAAGGTATTTATGTATTTTGTTTTAAAGTTTTAAGTTCGAGCAATTATATTTGTAATATATATGTGTATTACGAATAAATTAGAAACATTCTAAACATATGTAATCTTATAATCATATGAACTATTTAAAAAATTCGTTTACGGAAGATGCTGAAAAAGTATTTGATGAATTGATCACTGAGAGATGTTATCCTTTGGATGAGGCTTTGGGAGTGTTTAAAAACTTGAATTGTATTTATGTATTTTATTGACCGAAAGAAAAACCAATACGACAATAACTAACCATTCATCATGGCTGTAGACTCTGATCGATCAGATACGACTGTAATTTAGTACACTGGGATTTAATGAAGCAACCGCAAGCAATTCCTTGTCACGCTCGAATATGTCCATTTCTAGTTGGTCCAAGGTCACCCAAGCTTCTATACCTCCCCACTTTGAATCGAGCAAGACAATCAGATTCTTGAAATCACTTGGACTAGTCACCCATGTTGGCTTTCCCCACCCAAAATCCATCTCATGGAATGGGTAGCCGCACAAGTTTGTACAGGTATAGGTGTTGATGTCTTCGGATTTGCTATTCAGGAGATGAGCAATCTGTTTACGACCCTCTAGAATTTCATTATACCCTTTCTCGGTTTTAATTCCCTTCACCTTATCGTTGCAGACGTTGGCGAACTCGGTCTTCATCTTCGAAACCAGTCGATTGAGTTGCATATCATCCTTGTGGAACATCACTGCGTATTTCAGTATCAGGTTTCCTATGGTGTTTCCAGGTAAAGGCGGGTCCATTCTTTTACGCAAATTCACAACGTTTAGCAAAGCAGACTGTCGAGACCGAGTGGATGACCCGTGCTTCGATCGTGCAGCAGCAACCGTAGCGCATCGCAATATGATTGCCAACACAATATCCGCATCCCTGATGTCCTGCTGCCTCGTGGATGTTGCAACTCTAGCTTTGAGATTCGATATCTCCGGTTTGCGAAACAAGAACCTCTTTGTCTTGCAATTACGAGTCGTGGGCGGGGGAGGAACGGGTGCGATTACCGTGTCCAAAGGCGGTAACAACGACGCCCCAACTAGTTTCGGTAACTCGACTCTGCCATATTCACGGCCACTGATGGCAGTCCAGCTCTGTATGAAGGTACAAAAAGACGAAGCGTCGGCGAATTTCTGCGAGACGGATATGGCAACAGCCGTTCCGCCACAGGCGAAACTAGTGAGTTGAACGAGCAAGATACAAGCCAATGTCGAACGGATGGCTTTAGGATCAGTAGACGGGACCAACTCCTTAAGCTTATCAGGATCAGGATTAGCAAGAATGTCCTTGAGCCGGCACCTAGATTTAGCTTCTACAAAACAAGCTCCTTCGTCATTGCACTCGATGGTTACCGCATCCATAAGCTGGCCTGCAAGCGGGTAGAAATGGAGCAGAATTTCGGACAAGGAGGTCTTGAGTGACCGAGACTTTTGCGACGTATACGAGTCGACATTGTCGGAAGGGTAGAAGAAGATGACAGAGCCGTAATGAATGGCGAGCACGTCTTGGTCTAAAGCAGAGAGATTGAATGTTCTGAGATGGTGAGGGGTTGGAATGGAGGGTTTGATGGTTTTTCTGGACACAACTTCAACCTTCATTTTCTCCATCGCCTTTGCTGCTTTCCTTAAGCTTAGTTAATTAATCTGCCTTGTGTTGGTTTACCACCTCTTTCTCATTTTATGCACATATCTCAACAACTAAAGCAGCCATTTACGACCACCACCACGGAAGAATGCTCTATTCTATTATTTTAGTTTTCTATGTTTAGTGGGGCCTCCTTGAAAACCAAGAGCTGATTTCTTTGAATTCAGGCTCGAGTTGGTGAAAATATAAATATTACATGTAGATATAATTAAAATTGGTATAAAAAACTAACAACCAATTCTAGTGAAATTATTATAAACGATTTAAAAATTCAAAAGAAAAAATCCCACCCGCTATATGATTTAAAATATATATATACATATAGGAGGTCATGAAAGTACGACGACTGATTCCAGTTTCATAGTTTCGTCAAAGCATGACAAGATGAATATGTTACGAGTGAAGATATAATAAAAAAATGAAAAGCATGTTAAATTACATAAATAATATATCTGTAGTCCTCATAGATTGAAGCAGACAAGTTCACCCATCAGATTAATATAGAAAGACATTATTCAGTTTGTTGTAAACTAAAAACTAGATATTAAATTCATATGGTTAAATTACACGCTTAGTTATTTTATTTTACTCTTTCTCTTATTTCATTCATCATACTTTCAATTTTTTAATTTGTTCATTTAATTTTAGATATTGAATTTTTTTATTACTCCGTCGTTAATTATCTAACGAAGGTATGACATGGATAAATTAGATTATTTTTTAAACACCAAATTCCAGATCAGAAAAAAAGGTAATTAAATTAAATTCTTTCCCTTTCTCTCTCATTTAACCACCAAGCTTATTGATTTATTTTTGAAGAAATTCACGTATCAAAGTTCCTCGAATCTCTTCAAATCTTCCGTTGAAAGTTTTAAGAAACTAAGATAGCGTCCCATTCAGCGGCGATGAAACTGCTCTTTTCTTTGGCTTCCTCGGAGTCGCTGCTGCCCTCGTGTTCTCCTGTATGGGAGCAACATACGAGACGACCAAGAGCGGTGTCGTAGTGGCGTCGATGGGGTGATGAGGCTGGAGCGGTGATGAAATCGATCATCCCCTTCGTTATTGCTGGGGTTGTAGGTATTTATGGATTGATTATTGTGGTTATTATCAGCATCGGGGTTAACCCAAGAGCGAAATCTTACTACCTATTCGATGGATATGCTCTTCTTTCCTTTGGTCTCGCTTGTGGCCTCGCTGGTCTCTGTACCAGCGTGGCTATTGGAATCGTCGACGATGTTGGCATTAGGACCAACAACCAAAGCTTTTTGTTGGAATGATTCTTATCCTCATTTTTACGGAGGCTTTGGCTCTGTATGGACTCATTGTCGACATCATCCTCTCTTTCCGGGCCGGTCAATCTCGAGCGGAATAAAGTGCAAGGTTGTTAGACTCGGTTCATTGCTGGTTGATGTCACTTGGTTGTCTCCTCTCTGGTTTCGTTTCATGCTGCTAGCATGGATTGTGAAAACATTTTCTAATTTATCTTGAATCCATTAATGAATTTCTTCAAGTGGTGTTTGTATGATTGAGAAGACAGATTTAATTTGGATAAAAGCCACCAAGCTTATTCTCTGCGAGGAAAAGACGACAATGTTTTGGAAGAAAGGGAGCACGAAAATTGATATGGATGGTGGAGGGTTTCAAGAAGAGAGGGATAACTCTGGAGAAGGTTGGGTTTGGAGGACAGCGGCCACCGCCGCAACGGGTTGTGAACTGGATTAAAGTTGTGCCGATATCCATTGGCAGCGTCGTCATTTACTGGTTTGGTTGGTTTTAGGAAGGGAAAGACAGGGAAATGGAGGAGCAACATAGAAGGCTTGACTTATCTGACGTGGTCGATCTGATGTGCCCTTCTAATATTAAATAACTCCACGTCATGCAATTGTTAATGAGTAAACGGTTAAGTGACAAAAAAAATTAATGTTTAAAGTTCAATGAATAAATTGAAAAAGTTAAAAATACAGTGAGTTAAATAATAGAGAGAAATAATTTACCCAATCTTTTGTTCGTCTAAACACATATTCTTTGAAAAATATGTATATGTGAATAAAACCCGATTCACAAAAATTAAACTTTTTAATTTTTTTAATGATATATGTGTATTGCACATTAAATACACACACAAATATATATATATATATATATATATGTATATACACAAAATTGTTTAAATTAAAATTAGTTAGTACCATAACATTATAAATATTAACAATTAAATTTAAATTAAAACTGTAAAACTCAACTTTATAAACTCGACTCAAATTAAAAAAAATCAAATAAAATTTAGCATATAAAATAGAATTTATCAAATTGATTAACTCAAAAGATTTTAACTCAAATCGAATCGGTCTGATACTCACCCTATACACATCACACCATCTATATGATTTTAAAAATATAAACGAGGTCAATAAATATGAAGAACTGAATCGCAATCTCATAGTTACATCAAAGCGTGACAAGATGAATGTATATGAGTGAAGATATCATAACAAGATGAAAGGCATGTTAAATTACAAAAATAATATATATATGTAATCCACGTAGGTTGAAGCAGACAAGCTGACTAGTTCACCCATCAAATTAATATAGAAAAATACATTCTTTAGTTTGTTGTAAAATAATCACTCAAATTTCTTAATTCCAAGGCTGGCCTACATACAGGGATAAGTTATACGGGTAAGCTCAGCTATCTATCATTAATTTTAGTGTTAATGGTCTGAATACTTTTATATTAATTTATCAAATTTATTAATATGACAATTTTATTTTATAATTGTTTAATATATTTCTATATTTTATTTTTTGATGACAATAAATAAAAATATGACATGACATTTTAATATATATATATATATATATCATGTTTAACATAGACTTACATCAATATCATAAGATAAAAAGTGTATCATTTAATTTAATAATATTTAAAATAAATGTATAACTAATTAGAACTTCTTTGTTTTTTAATGTTACATAAAATAACAAAATAATAATAAGAAAAAAAAGGTAAATTTTTTTTATTTAAAGTTCAGTTAATAAATAAACCATTCTTTTTCAAGAGATACATTTAAGTCTTGCAAATGTCAAATATCCAGTATGGCCTCTAGCTTCAGCAGATGGTCGAGCCATCACTGCCGGACAACTTGGGTTGTCCCTCGCACTTCCTTCGCTTGAAGACGACCTCCTCCTCTTCCAGGTGGACATACGACTGAACCACTGTCGTCAACCTTCGAGCAATCCATTTTCCATTCCGAGACTTCGTATGTTCAAAGTAATATTTCAAAAGTCCTTATATCTGTGTATATTACAAGAACTTTATACTTCATATATACCATGTATAGATATGGAGAACGGTTCCAAGAAAAGTCAGTGCAGAATGCAGATATGAAATTCGAATCTCGATATCTGTAAATCCTTTTATTCCCTTTTTTCTTAGACTGCAGCCTATTTCGTATCGAGAAAAATAATGCACAAGCAAGAGATAATACACTAGTTTTGGAAAAGCAACCTGTAAAGTTCAATCTAAGAGTTTCACACGAGCGTTGGACTTGTTCTATGCATGGTGAAAAGGAGCACAAAATTCCATCTTGTTTCAACATTTTTCCAACTGAAGGAATGACCAGCCAAGGCTGTGGTAGGTCGAGAAATATGGAATCTGCTGATCCGGAAAATTCATCCGGAAACACCTTGCCCTGAATATCTCAAACGCCAACAGTCACTAAAGTGTTTACACCAGTCCTCTCGAAATCCTCTCTGTCAAAGGCGAGAAAAATCTTAAACATTATAAACCAACATACAAAAGTACATGTATACATATTGCACCTTCACTATTACAAGTGCTATTTCGAGACTTGCATCTAACGCAAGATAAGGGTTCTAACGTCTAGGGTGTCTACCACTCTTTACAGTACCGAAATAGATTCGAGAACGAGAATTTGAAACATTGCAGATATAAATGCAGAATCTAACAATACGTCAAAGCAATTATCAAATAGCTAGTATCATATAAATTGATCTTTGAAACTTAAATTTCATCAGAATGAAGACAACATTAACAATGCACACTCACAAAAGAAATGAACTTTTTCTTACCAAGCTAAGGCAGCCCTTTGTTCATGGAAATCAAATGTATAAACATGTCCTGTAGGAGCAACAGCCCTTGCAAGTGATGTTGTTAACGATCCACTTCCAGTTCCGGATTCAAGAACCAAACAACCGGGAACAATTTCCAAGTACATAATCACAAAGACAATATCCGCGACATAGAGAATCTGGGTCCTATGACTTAGAACCAAAGTCCGTAACACTGGTGTTGGAGCCAATAGGTAAATAAATCCACCCATGGTCCTAAGCACTTTGGAACCAATTGGCTTCCCGATCCAATCCGAATGTTTAAACAAGCAAATCGATTTTTGAAAACTGAATTCTCACACACTTTAACTGCCTTCATAGTATCATGTTTCTCATAGACAATAACCAAGTCTCCATCTATAATGCATCGATTGAAACATATCTTCTTCGAGGGATCCATTAACAACATTTTCCAAAATGTTGAATTCTATGAAGAACCAATAGAAGCAATAACCTGCAAATACTGACAATATGTTCAATGTAAGCTGATAATTATTAAATTCTGGAAATCCCATCTCTTTCTTCTTTTATTGAACTTATGTAAATTCGGTACACTGTAAAATTAAAAGTACCAAAGTTTACCATCCAAAAAGAGAGTATATTAAACTGTAAACGTACAGGAATTTCAAAAACAAAAATATTACCAAATACCCAGGGTTCCATGAAGATTATGGTGGGAAATAAATCGAGTACGAGTAATTTTCCTATAACCAGATTAGTGAGAATGCGAAATAAAAGTGGAAAAATAATACCCGAAATTGATAACAGAGTTCAGCCAATTATGCCTACGTCTCCGGACTACTGCATATATTTTACTAGAGAGAAAATTTACAGGTATTTACAAAACACTCACTAC